TTGTTCTCTTGATTTATCTGCCGTAAGATATGGTTTTTCGTGAAATGATTAATCAGGGCCTCATCCACTATATTTAATAGTTTTATTTACTCCAAATCTTCTATTTTAATGCGTAAAATATACAGAAATTGTTGTATTCCACATCTGTCATAGAGACAATTCTAAAAAACTCATTTTTTAAATTCGAAAATCGCCGCTCTAACATCGTGTAAATGTTTCCAACTGATAGTCGCAGGCGCCTCCATAAATCATTTTCTTATAAAAACGTTCATGTAAACATGACATATTCTAGACACATATTTTTGTCCTTAATATGTTAAGTTTTGTTATTAAATGTAGTATTAACTTATTCGTTTGATTATTTTCATATGATAAAGCCCGAAGCCTCTTACATCACCGAAATATCTTTAAATTTTAACTAAGCATAACATTTTTTTTATTCTTTGAAGTATTATGAAAGATTAAGCAGAGAGAAGAGAAATGCTAATAATAGTCGAGTACCGTTATTGCAAGCGGTTTAAGTGCTATGTGGCTTCACTAAAATGTCAGACGTCTGCTCTTTCTGGGAAAGCAAGGTTGTGAAGCTTCATTACGTGAAATTAAAATGTGAAGGATACGCGTATCTTCGACATTTTGTATTTCGTCTCTTTCAATATACTCATCATTGTTATCTTAGAAGAATCTATCGATGAATTATCTCAGACAAATATAAGAAAGATTTAGAACAAAGAAAATAGAAATTCACGAATAAAATCAAATTTATGCGTCTATTTGGATTATTTAGCTATACCGAAACTCAATAGGTAACATACATTAGTATATTGCTAATCATAGTTTTGACTAATTATTGTTCAGTTAAGTAGTGGTAATTGAACAATGATTCTGGACGCTCGAAATGATGATTATTCTTTAGGACTATTATAAAGGTTAGAGTAATTCGTTAAAGACTAACCTTGCGAACACGAGTATTAAGGAGGTTCTGTCGAAACTACCTACTTGAATTTTCACGTCTGAAACTTTTATAGATTATAAATTAAACAATTCTGAACTCAATTGCAAAATTTGAAGGTCGGTCACCGACGAAAATGTTAAGAAACATTATATTAAAAACGAAACTTTATATATGGACTCAAACGTCACAGAGATTGAACTTTGACTTTGGATGAGAAACTAATATATTTAAAGTGAAATGTGAAACAATAAGTGGTGTACTACGGATTCGTGAATTCTTCAGAATTCGATAAATACAATAAAAAAAGTGACCTTACCGGGTGTTTTAAAGAGCAATTGCAAATCAATTTGCCGGATCTCCATCGATTCACCGGGAGAGATCCAATAAACAAATAAATGAAAGTCAAATGAGAGTATGACTTTTAAAATATATTTATATAAATGAGCTAATTTCACAAAGATGAACAACTACAAACAAATTTCTATACTGAATAATTTCGTAGAAAGTCCGGTTTATTTCAATCGATTTACGAAATTGATTGGATAGTTGATCAGTTGACTAGCATGCATCGACAGGACCTCCTTTAATGGACATGTTGACGAATAATATCACGTAACTAATCAATATATATACAGATTATCTGATTCTAATGGAATCGAAGATGCAAAACTGCTGTTCGAATTGAGGAAGTTCACTGACTCTTAAGACGTGTAGGGGGTATT